GACTCTTAGGACAATGGCTGAAGTACAAATACGGGGAGGCCTGTCAGATTGACTATATCACACTCCCACCAACATTTTCTTACCCTGGTAGAAGCAACCACCAAGATGGCTGGAAACATATGCTGTTCACCACGCCACTGCCCGGAATACTATCCTGGGCCTTGAGAAACAAGTCTTGTGGTGACATGGCACCCCAGAAAGAACTGTTTTGTACCTATTTTTTTAAATTTTTCCGTTTGTTGCCATTAAAATTCATACATGACATTTCTGTCTTCACAGGCATTCTGACCTTTGCTGGCCCTCTAAACGATCCATTATTTTATGCTGTAAACAGCAAGATCTAAGTACCCAGTTTTCAGAAGTGCTGTTTGATGCCTCTACTCATTTCATTGGGGCTGAGCAGAAATTAGGCTGAAACTGCACTTTCTTCTAGACACATAAAGCCCTTCTGGTGCAGCATTTGTTTCCTGCAGGTCTCTGTGAACCAACTATCACACTTCAGCTGAGCAGAAGTTATTTGATAATCACACCAATTTGTCAACATACCTCAGCTTTTAAGATACACCATTATCAACATTGGTGTAGAATCTCTCCAACCGTATTACACAGCCAGCACTGCTCCAGAGTTAAGAACAGAAACACTTCTACATATACGTTTACTACTGATTCAAGGCGAGTGTCTCTTCTCTACGAAGCGCAGAAGCAATCTCTCCTTCTGTGGTTGGGGATTATAAATGTTCCTGTATCATTATGAAAGCACTGGATTACTAATGATCAAATTTGGGTTTCTCTCTCCTTCCCACCTTTTCATCACATCAAATTTATGATCAGATTTTGCCTGCCTTTTTATTTACCTGAAATATCTGCTGAAAATATTTGGCTCCAGAGCCTTCAGCATAAACCCTGTTCTTTATGCTCTGATTTTCACATACAAAGCTGTTTAGTATCTCATCTGAGTAGGAGAGAGTATGTTATTTTCTACACTACTTGAACTCTTGAATTGCTTTTTGTTTTTTTGGTGTTTTTTTTTTTTATTATTATGCCCTCAAAACAGTATTCTTACTTATGTTGGATTGGTCTCCACCTCCCCAAAAAACCAACCAACCAAAAAAAAACCAACAACCAAGTAGGAATGTTTACAAAGTTGTCATGAGAGAAGAAAATAATACAGAACAAAGACTAAGGAAGAGGGGGGGGAGGAGGGTTATATTAATAAAATCACATATTAGATAAGCATTTGCTGTACTTGCACATTCCCAAAATGGCACGAGGGTGACAGTTATAAAATTTATTTAGGGACCTTAAAGTTAATGGAAAACTAGTGGTTAATTCACTCGTAACAGTCCACATGCAGCTTGTGGCAGATCAAATCTCCTGATGTGTTCCGCAGCACTTTATGAAGCAGTAAGTCTGCTTCATTAGGAAGAGGTGAACATCATATGGTACAAAATAATTCACAGTGAAGGAAGACTGAAAAACTTTCCCCATCTTTCCCCTCTTCTTTCTAGAATCAACAATGAAACGGATTAAAAAATTATAGATTGTATCATGAGATGCACAGTGAAACACATGCCAGAGACTATGAAGCAGCATCCCACCTTAGTGATTTTATTTAAGTGAACATGTAAGAGACATAAGCAGAAGATAAGAAGCTGCTTCCAAGGCACAGCTCATTGCTCATGCCATGCTTCTGAATACAAAGACCATGATGAACAGCACAGAGAGAAAAATAGGCATCAAATCTCTGAAGTCTGTACCTTCTTTTTCAAAAAAGGCAGAAGCAGACAATCTTTAATCCTCTCAATCTCTAAACATGAGGCTCCTACCCAAAAGCTCACAGAAGCACGTGCAGTATGCCAGCTAGCTTCCAAAGTCCCAGGAGAAAAAATAACATTTCTCCCAGCACATCCAGCCCAAACATCATAAGCTATCATAAAAGAGTTCTATAATCAAAAGGACAGAGTACTATCTTCCATCTGTTGAAGCAGACACTATGCAGATCAATGAAGGCTTAAAAAAAGAAATATTAAAACATAAGGTAGATGAGGCATGAATATACAAAATGAAAGGAACAAATGGAGAGAAAACAAAGGAATCAACTTCACGAAGAAGCAGTTAAAACTGTCAAATCAGTTAATTATGGGGTTTAGAAATTCCTATTGTAGGCACTTTGCACATCATTACAGGAACATATGATAAATTTGAACCAAGGCTGACAAAACTGATCATACACAGCATAAAGAGGAAGACATTTTCTTACAACACTATAAAAGAATTATTATGCTGTTGCTCCAATCATCTTATTGTTTAATCATTTGATGTCTGTGCATAGGTTGCACAATTTAGTTGTTTCTATGCACAGAAATACACAGAGATTGCATATCTGAGGGTTTAGTTTGAAGAGGACATATCAGAACCATTACAGTTTTGAGCATCCTGTTCCTACAAGTTTCAACTGTTTAGCTTTAATTTAGTTTTATTAACAGTGGGTTTTGAGTCCCTTTATGGAACTAAACAGCACTCTTAAGGACTGAAAGAAATTGTCTCTCTCTGTTCAGGAATTACAAGACAGACTAACTGGCTGGGAGAAGCAATTTAATGTCACTTTTCTAAGCAAGCTTCAAATGAAAAAAAAACACAAAAACAAAACCAAAACTTTCTACCCTATTTTCTTCCTTCAAAGTTTTTTTTATGATGACTGCAGTTTGTATAAGAGTCTTAAAATATTACCTCTTCAATACACCACGTAAAATCAAGTCTGGGGGAGGAACCAACTGAGTATATATCATATGATCTTAATGCTTCAAATTTAGTTGTCTCTCACAGCTATTTAATTTTCCCTTTTCTATAATCCAAACAGTAAACAATGTCTCCGTAGAGTAATAAATGCTTAACTTAGATTTATAGAAAGTACATACCATACAACACTAAAATCATCTTTGGTCCCCAAAATAAGGAAATTACAAATTTACATCTGTTTTTGGTTTACAAAGTATATCAGATAGCCTTTTCTTAATTAATATTCTCTGAATTCTCCCCAAAAGCTGTGATAAGCTCAGGTCATAATGCAAGTAATAAATAATGGCCTTCTGTTCTCAGCTCAAGGAAACATTTCACATGTAAAAGCACTCAGGGTCATTCAGGTACATTATATTACACAATGAAGTATTATACTGTATTAGAAGTATAACTATCACTCTGAATTTGTCATTCCAGCTAACAGGTAACAAAAGCTTTTCATGATCTCACTCCAGAAAAAGCTGGGTGAAGTTATCCTTTTGCTGGGTAAGGAAAGGTGTAAGGATTCGAAAGACAATAAATTCATAAGCTTATAGATGCATGAGACTTTCCACACCTCTGAAAAAAACCAGAATCAGCACAGGGAGTACAGGAAGGAAACAGGGCATCCTCTTACGTATGCACCATTTCAATCCTTGTTGTTAACCAGCAAACAGGATACACTCCTAATGAAAAGCCTTTGCTATGCATCACCTGACTTCTGGTTTTTGATTTCAGATGAGGATTCCACACTAAAAAGCATGGATCTTGTGGAGGACAACATTCTGAATGGTTCTTGTAAAACACTGACATTGTCCATGAACTCTCATTGCAAACTTTGCTGATATTAGGCAGAGTGCTTATAAACAGCAGGGCTGTAACATCTGTACTGCCAATAATAAACTTTGTTAATTCATACCACACTGAACATGCAACTGTCAATTACTTTTCTGTAGTGCATAGTATCTTGGTGAGACACCATCTCAGTAAAATGACTGTTCTAAACCCAACACCTGAGGTTGGCTTATACGGTTCCATCTTTTTTTAAACTGGTGTTCCCTTTGGCATTAACTTTCAAGAAGCAAAATAAAATGTTCCTATAATAACTGGTAAACCATTAGTCCTTAAGAAAATGTAAGCTTTCTTTAACCTCATTAGTAACTCCTTCTGAATTTTGATCTCTATCTTAGCCACTAAGGTGAAATGCACTATAGACATAAGTAAACTGAAAACGAGAAGACATCAGTTTTGTCACTGTTTTTTCACACATCAAAATAATTCCCTGTTGCTCAAACATTCGATTCAAACATTGTATCATTACGTTCACACCTGTTGCTATTCCAGTTCCCTCAGGTATTAAAAAGCCCAGGCACTTCTATTGACCTACTGTTTGGTATAACCTGTTTTTCATGTTTATAAATGACCCATCTGCCACATACTGCCATTTGTTCTTAAGACTCCAGTTAACTGCATTCATCCACTTAAGAATACAGATACACAAGAACACAATGCAAAAAGTGTTCAAGTCAAATGTGAGATAAATTCAGGCAGACAGGACACAGTTCTGCTAATCTTAGAGATTTCAGCAGCTTATACCAGAAAGGAATTCAGCTCTAGAGATCTTCTCTCCCACATATATTCTTCCTGTAACATGCCCACATGCATATACCAAATAACACACTACACAGATAAAAACACCTATCAAATAAAGCCCAGAAAAATATCAAGGGACATCTTTCTAATAATGTTATGATTTTGTCTGACTGCAGAATTTGAGTTTTGAGTAGACAAAATATCCTTCTCTTCACTGGAAGTACAATTAAAATAAGAAACCTACAGTTAGGTAAAACTACTTCTAAAGAAATCAATACAACCATATTATCCTCCAATTAACTATTTTTTCCAAAGAAGTATTAGGGGAAAAAATTGCAGAAACACACAATAAAAAAAAAAACAACAACCAAACAAAAACCCAAAAAATTTTAAAAATTCAGTTTTACCTACTACCAAGTTTTAATTTTAGAAGATGCACCCAACCTTCCAAAAAGAACAATATTTATCTTGCATGAATCACAATATTGCAACCTTAGGAACACTTTATAAGCCCATCATAATTTGTTGCTAGTTCTTGCTTACCACATACTTGCACTTGATGCATTATGGTGACCATTCAAGGGAACATGCATGAATTTGTGCAGTTAGCATGAACTGAATATGGCAATTCCAGAGTAACCCATAGAGTAACTACCTCAACACTACATCCATCAAACAAAAAATGGGAGACAGTTGTCCATTTCAGCTATATAAGTGCACCAACAGTGAAACTGCAGGAGATCTTGCAGACAAAAATTGACCTGTACTGCTGAGGCTGCATGAGGATAGACACAGAGAGTTTGTTGGACATAACAACATGGCTAAAGTTATTGCTATTTGCCCCTCACTTCCTTTTTGCATTTATTAAATTTCCTTTAGGTGCTTTTCTTATATTAACTGACCAATGCAGCACTGGTCTTAGTGTTTTCCAATAGGTGAAGAAACAGTGGCAGAACAAGTATATTCAGAACTTGCACTTGGGAGAGGAAAGTACTGTGCAGTTAATCCAAAACAATAACATACTTCAGAGCATATACATATATTATATAAGCTATATATGTGTATATATAGGTGGACATGTTAAACGGATCTTGCTTTTGAATGACCAACATTTACTGCCTTCATGACAACAGCTTCCGACTCAATACACCTCTGAACATATGCAGGGCTCGGCATTCTTTGCCACCATCTTATCTTCCTTTTCTTCCTCAAATAAAGACAAACCCCTTTATTCCATGAGGGAGTTAAGCATGTCTTTTCCCTTTGCAGTCCCATGTGAATGTCACTTTCATGCATCCAGACGCTGAATCTCAGGGTGATGATCCACTTCTCTGGACTCTGTCCGAGCACATATGGAATCACTGGTCTGCCCACTATTTTGTTGTCTGCTGTTCACTCGCCACTTTTTAATAGCTAAATATGTGTTCACAGCATACATTGCCATTGCCAAGAAACCAAATATCTACAAAAGTAGAAAGAATTGTCAAAGATAATTTTTGAAAACAAGAACAAGAGTAGTTTTGTGACAAATTCCTCAGAAGCCTAGTTTTCTACCTTATTTTCACTGACAAATCACCATGGTCTGTAAAAATTTATGTTTTTATTCAACAAACTAGAAAATCTTCAAAAATGACCAAGATCAATGATCCCAGAAAACAAAGCTCTTTGTCTACAAAAAGAAATATTCAACAATGTACAACAAATATACAAAGAACACAGCTCTTCATCTAACAGTTCATTCCACAGGGTGAACATAACAGTGAATGAATGACAAGAGAACAGACGACCAGTCCAGACCATCAGCCTGGAGAGGGAGCTAATTTGCAAATTTTTTTTTTTTTTTTTTTTTTTTGCAATTTTTCCTATACACTTTTGCAGGACTGTGGTGGGATTTTCAACATCCAGGTTTGAAAAGGGGTGGGGGTGGGGGGTGGGGAGAGGGAATAAAAATGTTGCCAACTCAAGCACAAAATTAATTTGCTTGAGCTTACTGGTCTAGATTTAAAATCTTGAAGTACTACTATACTCACTCCACAGAACACAAAAGGTCTGTAGTGAGCAAGAAGAATTCAGCAAATTGTGTGAAAGGAGCTCCAATTTCTTGTGAACTTTTGGCTCTATCTTTTCCATAGGCTTGCAATATAGAGCAGTATCATCTAAGCTAGCTATAAAGAAGGCAAGCTCAACCGCTAAAGTGTTCCCTACAAGTCATTTTTCTGTTTGTTCTTGCCTCAAGCCTTAAGACAAACAACTCAAAGGATGTCAGTACTTTTCAAATCAGAACTGTAAAATTAGAAGTAAATTGTGATGGCAAAGGCAACGGGTGTATTCAATGAACATGAGGAAGTTATTCTTAGTTTTAATAGATGAGTCATATATAAAGAAGTTCAAATTCTTACCACAGCAGCAATTTCTGCTCCAGTTTTATGGTTTAAAGTAGCAAGTACTACAGAGGCAATGAAAAAGAAGAAAGTGCTGAGTCCAGTGTTGACCAGATCCTAAAAAAATAAATTTATTAGCATTACTAAAGAATGATTATTTGCTTGCTTTTATTAGAAGTGATGAAACAGAAGGCAGTTAGAACAAGAACTATAGGAATATTTTCCCACTTTCTATGCAGTTTATCACTCACACAAAAGAAGGCAAAGATTATTACACAGGAAATGTAGCATGTGTGCACATTAGTCTGTGAATTGCAGTCATATAGCATGTACACATAAAGCACCAGTGCAGATTGTGGATGAGTTACCTCAATTTCTACTGGGTTTGTTAGAAAAGTACTGTGAGCATAAATGAGTAAAGCTGTTCTAACTCAGCTGACACTGAAGTAACCTCAATATCAAACTTCAGCACTCCAGGAACCCTTTGTTCTCATTCACATCACAATAGTGCTACATGCACTGCCCAGATAACCATCAGGAATTTTTCTACCGGGTCTTTGAGGCATTCATTGTAGAAGACTGCATGTCATACACCATTTCTATGAATAACAGATGCTCGGATTGTGAAAATACACAAATTTTTTACATATTTATTGCCTAAGATTAATGTTTCAAGCAGATATGTTAGAACATAAGCACAGCAACACCCCATGGCACCTATGCTCAGGGAAAATCTTTGCTTTGCTCCAAGGACAGAAAAATGACAGGCAACATCCAATTCAGCTATACATATGCTGCACATGTCAGTGTTCAGATGATTGCGCTGCTGTAGCTTACATAAAGCAGGGTCATTAACATATCACTGGAATATAAACAAAAATTCTGAGTGTCAGTGGTGCAACTTAAAGTTTTGAGTTAAAGAAGAAAAAAAAAAACCCACAACAAAACCACACTGAACATGCCAACTCCCACCATTAAAAACAAAATCCCATCACAACTCTACTTAGAATTCAAGGATAAATTTAGTCTACTTGATTCTCTTCTTTCACATGCAAGCCAGGCTCACTTCCTGTTCCTGCTCCTCCACTTACTACAAGCAGGATTTATTTTCCTGTTTTATTTTATTTTTCCTCAAAGTGCATCTTGTAAAGCTCTGTAAGAAGTGAGGCTCAGAAAATTGAAGATACAAACTTAAACTTATTCCCTGGGTATGAATCCTATGATTATGTTCCAGCTACACAGCACAAAAACTTTGAAAGACCACTGTCATCTAGCCACCCCCAAAACATCTGATTTTTGTGCCATGACTGTATAATGCTTGTCCTGGGTTCAGCAGTAGCAGTCATGTTTCTCCTCCTTGGTAGCTGGTGCAGTGCAGTGTTTTGACTTTCGGCTCGGGAACAGAGCTGATAGAGATGTTTTGGTTTGGCCAAGGACTTTGTGAGCCTCATGCTCTGCCAGGGAGGAGGGGAAGCCGGGAGGAAGCAGAGACAGGACACCTGACCCAAACTGACCAAAGAGCTATTCCATACCACAGCACGTCATGCCCAGGATGTAACTGGGAGTTAGCCGGAAGGGCTGGGAGACGGCAGGGTTGGAGGAGGTATCGGTCAGAGCTTGGTCGGGCTTGGGGGGCGAGTTATTGGTCGGCTGGTGCTGAGGTGTTGTATTCTCTTCCCTTGTTATTTCCTTTATCATTATTATCATTGGTGGTAGCAGTAGTGATTTGTGTTATACCTTAGTTACTAAACTGTTCTTATCTCAACCCGTGGGAGTTGCATTCTTTTGATTCTCCTCTCCGTCCTTCCGAGAGCAGGGGGGAGGGCAAGAAAGGGGGGGGAAGTGAGCGAACGAATTACCTGACTGGGTTTAAACCACGACAGTTCTTTTTGGCGCCCAACGTGGGGCACGAAGGGTTGAGATAACGGCAGATCTGACCGGATTAATAGTCATTCGTCACAATGCTGATTTATTGGGTATCAGAGTTGTTCTTGATCTCACAGCTTCAGACCGTTGTAACTTACGTAGAGCCGGTATTTGCTGTGATAGTGTTTATCAAGTGTGGGGCCTGGGCTAAGGTTCTCGTCTCACTGTGCTTTATGGCAATGGCTTGTAATACGGGCGGGCTCCAGCAGCAGGGTGGGACGGACGTGGCCGTGGACTTGTACCTGGCCGTCCGGCTGCTCTTCACCGTCCTGGCCCTCACCCTACTCTCCATCTTCGTGAGGCTGCGGGGAGCCGAGGGGGAGCGGCCCCGGGAGCCGGCGGCTGCCGAAGCGGCCCGGGAGAGCGGCCCCCGGGGCCAAGCGGCGGCGGGAGCGGGGCCGGAGGCCGTGCGGGGACGGCTGCCGGTGGAGGAGGTCGGGGAGGTCGAGGAGCAGAAGGAAGCGGCTGCCGAGCAGCGGGATAAGGCGGCGGAGGAGCCGAGCCCCGCGGAGGAGCCGAGCCCCGCGGAAGAGCCGAGCCCCGCGACGGCCGAGAGCATCCCCCGGAAGCCGCCTGCCGAGCCCCAGGAGGATGCAGGAGACCACGCAGCATTTCCCAGCAAGGCAGAGGAGGAAGAGCTGGGCTCAGGAAAAGAGAAGCTGGCGGTGGGAGAACCGGCAAGCACAGCAGCTACACCAGCCCCAGTGACAAGTACAGCAGCATCAACTGAGAGTTCTGAAGGCTCTGAATGGCCTTTGGGTATCCTTGGGACCTGCCTGCTGATTGTGATGGGGATCAGCATGTTGGCACACACACAGGCTGTGTTCTACCCACAACCATTTTGTCTGATCTCAAAAGTTAAGCAGAGTCAGGTTTGGGTCTTGTCCGGGGTTAGACGACAATATAGGGGGACCAAGAGGTTTTCTCCAAGGCTGGACAGTCATGAGTGGCAGGGTGTGTGTGACAGTATGGGCAAGTATCTAGTCCACTGGGCCCCTCCAGTGCTTTGGAAGCGTCGGAGATGGAAGGCAGATGTATGGAGTCCCCAGCAACAAGCTGCAGAAACTGCTTAAGGGGACAGTGAATTATTTTAAGCCTGGTGGGCCCATGGCACTTCAGGCCATCAGAGCAGAGATGCAACACAGAGATGGACTCATGATCGAGGGGTGGACTTAACAATGGACACTATTGCCCAGGTTATTCACGAGTGTGAACACTGCACACAGTCTCTCCTGCTCTGGAAGACTGTTACAAGAGATGGAGCCTGACATGGACCAGATGGACGCAGTAGCTTTATAGGGACTGGTCCATGCACTAAGATAAGAGTGCACCGAGATAAGAGTGATGGTATATTGAAAATGTGGGATCTGAGCATGACGTGAATGGTATGGAATAAGGGGTGGATAATGTCCTGGGTTCAGCAGTAGCAGTCATGTTTCTCCTCCTTGGTAGCTGGTGCAGTGCAGTGTTTTGACTTTCAGCTCGGGAACAGAGCTGATAGAGATGTTTTGGTTTGGCCAAGGACTTTGTGAGCCTCATGCTCTGCCAGGGAGGAGGGGAAGCCGGGAGGAAGCAGAGACAGGACACCTGACCCAAACTGACCAAAGAGCTATTCCATACCACAGCACGTCATGCCCAGGATGTAACTGGGAGTTAGCCGGAAGGGCTGGGAGACGGCAGGGTTGGAGGAGGTATCGGTCAGAGCTTGGTCGGGCTTGGGGGGCGAGTTATTGGTCGGCTGGTGCTGAGGTGTTGTATTCTCTTCCCTTGTTATTTCCTTTATCATTATTATCATTGGTGGTAGCAGTAGTGATTTGTGTTATACCTTAGTTACTAAACTGTTCTTATCTCAACCCGTGGGAGTTGCATTCTTTTGATTCTCCTCTCCGTCCTTCCGAGAGCAGGGGGGAGGGCAAGAAAGGGGGGGGAAGTGAGCGAACGAATTACCTGACTGGGTTTAAACCACGACAATGCTTTAGAAAGTAATTGTAAAAACTGAGTTTCTGGCGCTGCATTATTCAGAGGAAAAGCGATCTATTTTGAGGGTACTGACAGCTAGTTTATCAAAATTAAGTGCACCTGGCAATGAACTGTATGTATCACTGTGGCCTAATCCTCATCTAAAAGGGGGGCCTTTTCAAGAAATCTGAGAGGCTTCCATTGCTCATTGCTATTTCCACAGACATGTTCAGATTTCATGATGCCAATAATACCCAAACTGTCTTACCAAATAGTAAGGAAACAAAAGCAAATGGTGGGTCTCAAACTCCTATCATCTTTCCACCTGCCAGTGTATAATATGAGAAATCTTTTTTCTCTCTGTTCAAGGTTACCAAGATAGATATTATCTGGTACTTACAGCATTAAAAAAAAAAAAAAGGAATTTTATTAAATAGCTATAGCAGTTTTAACTATATAACTTCTTGTTTTGCAGAGATAAAGTTAAGGAATAGAGACATCAGAAAATAAATGGCATTTTACAATTTCTCCAACTATCCTTTCCAACTCTGAGTTTAACAGCTCTAACTGTGCCTCTGGGTTTGCCAACAAGAGCTGTGGTTCTCATCTGTGCAAACCTTTCCTCACTAAAGGGGAAGTCTCACTATGTATGACAACAGCCACCAGACTCAATAGTATTCAACATTATCATCAAGTCTCTAAACATATGTATATCACAAAGAATGCTGAAACTAAATAGTGAGGGCAGCTGCGCTCTTGAATAACTAAACCAAAGTAGTTCAACCCAAGGTCAAGTAATATATTGTAATACCAGAGTACATCTGTAACCTACAGGAAAGGCCTACAGAATGAAGACAACATTGTAGAAGAAAAAAATCATAACTTAGTAATTACAGTAGGTAAGCATCTCAAGATGTGATGCCATGACCAAAAAAAAAGGAAGAAAAAGCACTTATACATTCCTTTGGACATATGGACACGACAGACATAAGGTTGTAATCTTACCTGTGGCAAGAGAAACTTCAATGCCATGTCCTGTTCCAGTATCTACATGTTTAAAAATATGTTGAAAAATTGAACAGGGTACAGAGAAGAACCACAGAAGTTATTTAACAGGAGGAGGCAGTTTCTCACAGTGTGAATCAAAGAACCTAAACTGCTTTGAAAATTAATAAAATTAAGCTGTGTACACAAAGACTCCAGTGTTCAAATAAAAAAAACTAGTTGTTTTC